TGTATTTGGGGTTTCTTTGATTAATGTTACAGCAAGTTTTCAGGCAGGCTGCACATCCTTCTGCCCCGGATGCACACTTTCTAGAGTTGCCTTTTTATTGGCGTTCACACAGGCAAAGCCCTTGTGAAAGAAAATCCCTGTGAAATGTTGTTTATTGCTCATTCTCCAGGGAGCCGCTTGCCTGCCAGTAGGGGCCGTGCTGATCTCAGGCCTCTGAGTGGAAAAGCAGAAGCAAACACGGATGGGTCATGATTCATCGCCAGGCTGAGCTGTTTTTAGCCAGTTTAAATTCCTCGGGAGCTGCCAGGCATTGTTCTGGGAGCTGAATAGCACCCGGCCCCGGCAGGAAAGGTCTGAGTCCTGTTCCGCCCCCATCAAACAAGTGCCAGGATGTCTGCAGGAACAGCCCAGAAACCTTACCCCTCCCCTTGGCCTTGGGCTGAGTGGGTGTCAATAAACAACGGGGGAATCAGCTGGTGATCTAAAGGAGAGGTTTCTTTAGAAATTCAGGGGGACAATACCGATTTTCTTCTGCTGGCATCTGGCCATCTTTGTTAGGAACTTTGCTGAAGGGAAACTGGCTTATTTGATCTATAGTAGAGGGTCAACCCAGCCAAACTCCCACCCAAGCTCACTCAAGGCTGGCAAAGAATAACACTGATATTTTCTTGCTGATCTGAGACCTCAGGATTCTTTCAAACTTGGGTTTTTCCAGCAAAGATAATGGATTTCCCTGCACCTGTGGATGCAACAATTCATCAGTAATCTCCATATCTATGACATGAACTAGAGCTTCCTTATGATGATCAGATTTGAAAGCAGTGTACTTCTGATATATGAGAAGTTACCTTTGTGGTGAGAATATGCATGTTTTTTGCACAGAACTGGACCCATCATGAACACCAGCTGTATGTATTCAGAGTTTTAATATGCCCCTAACTGCAGTGACCTGCAGTTATCCAGCGTCTTTGGCACATCAGTGTGTTACTTCTTCTGCCCTGAAGGGTTTCAAGCTACAAGGCAGACAGTCAGCTCTCTGGGATGAAACCTGAAGCCTGGAGGTGCACCATATGTTCTTGCATAGCATCTGCACTATCTTCAGCATCAAATTTCAGTCTCGCAGTGCAAATGTTTGGGATGGATGAGACGTCAGCAAATGCAGGGTTTGGACCTAACCTATCTCTTCCCTGACTGATAACAATATTAATTAGTCTTTGTACAAACTGCTCACGACTCTGTTTGGGCTGCCTAACCCTTCTTTGAAAAGTGTTTGCAGGTGTCTGTCCTTCTCTTCTCAAGGCTTGTTAGCCTTTTTCTTTCCCCAGAGGTCAGGATTTCCACATTTTGGACCATTCTCTCTGTTCTTACTTCATTCTCATTCTTTGGACCACATTTCTTTGAAGCTCAACACTGATCCAAAGCTCCAGCATGGAGCTGTACTTAGGCTGTAACTTAGGCAGAACTGGTGGGGTATTCCAGGCTGTGATCCTGCTTACACACCCTGGAACAGGATCTGCCTTATTCACAGCACAGGACTCCTACTTCTGACTGCCCTTAACTTCCTGATCCTGCTCCTTCACCTACCGTTTCCCACCAGCAGAAGTGCAGGTAATTACTCTTATCTAGGTTAATTCTTTCCAGCCTCTGTTTCCCAGACTCTCTCTCAATTTTTCTGATGTTGCTGTGAATTTCAGCCCTGCACTTTTCCATTTTCCCAGACCTTCTTCTCCAGGTAAGGCCTCCAGATTTTCTCTGTTCTGACATTTGATGTCACTAATCAGCCACTTATGGTCCTGGAACTTCAGTAGGAATCCAGTCATTCAGCTGGACAGCTGCTCTGGTAATGCCTGCATAAGCAGGTTCAAGCTCAGCCATGTTGCTTTAATTTCTTTATAAAGCCATGAGAAGAATTGCCTGAAGCCTACACACATCCCATTGCTCCTCTAGATCAGCACTGCACTATTACCGAATATTTCCTAAAAAAGATAGCTACTGCTTTTTATTCCTGGCTTTGGAGAACCACCTGAAAATACAACTTAAACACACCCGTGGCAGCTGACAAATGAAATATGTAAGGCAGGATTAAAGAAGAACAGAGGGAAAACTGGAGTGACAAGTATTTTAACGTCAGCATGGAAGTGCTGAGTTGGGTGTGTTGTCCAGTGCTAGCAGCTGGGCTATTTGAGTCTTTTTACCACTTGTTTGCACAGCTGGACCGAGTGGCAGGATTTAGCTCAGGGAAAAGGTCAAAACCAGAAAGTGCACTTCTCCTTTCTGGCCACACGATGTGCCCATCACACCGCGAACACAGCCCGGCCAGCCCGCCTGCAATTGCAGACGTAGCCACAAAGGCAGGGGGTTCCAGGGGTTTGTATTCCCTCACAGCACCTCCTGACCTCTAGCCAGGCCCCCTAAAACACTCACACAGCTGCAGATCAGGGCCCGTGCCGTGGAGCAGAAGGTGGTGAATGGGATGGAGTTGGTGTGGTCCAGGTGCTTTGCCTTTGAGGAAGGTGACAAGCGCTGTGAAAGAAATAGGAGCTAAGTGGTCAAGAGACAATGGCAACTCTTCATTAATCATTGACTCTTCATCAATAATTCCAATTATTCACTGGGCAGTGAATAATTGGAATTAAGTTTACTTACTAAATGTGAGATTTATTTCTGCTTTCGGTGGGAAAATGTGAGCAAGTTCTTTTTCATTCTAATTGCTGGGATGTCTTGGCCCTCTGTCATTTGTATGTTCTCTGAGCAGAACCAAGAGGCTCTTCAAAACTAGAGCTGGCATCTGCAGGAACCAGTCATCAGCACAGAGATTTGTAAAAGAAATATTGGGATTAGCACAGATTAAAATCTGTTTATGTAAGTGCCAGAAGAAATAGCAGAGCTGGGTGACTAAGAATGGCTTCAATTTATAACAAATGACACCAGAAAAAATTTGGGACTGATAATTTGAGCCATTGCTAAGACCACAGGACACACAACTCACTTGAGGGAGAGTCTCCTCCCTGACAGCAGAGGATAGACATCTCCCATTTCCCTCCCCTGCAGCCAGGCAGGAAGAGAGACTGCAGCAAAGGATCATCACAAAACAACTATTGATTATTAAGGATTATTAAACAACTGCCTCACAAGGGCATATTTAGTGAAGAATTCACAGGCATCACCCCTTGTGGTGTATGTTGCACGCAAATGACTGGGGCTGGACAGAACTTGTAGCATGAGAGTGAATGAAATCTGTAAGAGAACCAGTGCAGGTGGCTACAATGAGTGTAGAATGTAAATAAATACCATGGTGCCCTTCTGTAATACCTCCTACAATAATTCAGACTTATAATGGGGATATAGCAGAGTTCTGACTTTCAACAAACCTACACATTTTAAAGGTGACCAGTTAGTGCAGCTGTACCACACAGCCTGTGTGAATCAAACCATTCATTTCAGGGCAGAATAAATGATATTGTCTTCTGTTTAACTCACAAGGCACTTTCCTATAGTTCTATCTACCTTAATCAAACAAACTGGGGATTTAAAAAAAGGACTAATCTGCTCATTGGCCATAATTGCATTTCCTCTGCAAATATTAAGTTAGAACAATAGCAGTGGCTTTTGTAATAAATTTACTTTTAAATGCTTTTCATGTGAACAAGAGAAATGTGTGTTGCCTGCCTAGAGCTTAGAAGAAAAAAGTGAGGAGTATTTTCCCAAAAAATGCTTCAAAAAAACCCAACAAAATGAAGAAGTTGTAAAGCAGGTGGCCAGATTTGTAGGTGGTGGTAGAAAACCAGAATAAAATCAATAAACTTTAATTAAAACTTCACCATCTTTTATATCTTTGTTGAAATAGCATAGGAAACCATCTCTTTATCCATAGTAATGCCTAACAAGGGCTAATAATGTCTGGCTGAAGGCACCTGGGACTCAGTCTAAGGCTTAGCTCAGCTCTCATTAAAGACAAGCAATCATTCCACCTTTTCCACAGGTCTCACAAATCTGCATGGGTTTCATATGGCAAATCACTATGGTTCTGCCAACCATCCCAGAAGACTTCAGAAAACCTGTATGCAAAGAAGCTGACATACGAATGGCTCCAGGCTCTGGTCCCAGAGGACCAGAAGTGAGCTAGTTCAGCTAGGAAGTGAGAAGTCAAAGACACAACCATGGAGTCAGGCTTTTTGGAAACCACCACATTGGTGGTTTTGTAAGATTTACATTCCAGGGCATAACACCAGTCACAATTTGTAAATCATAAATGGGCAGGTCCTTCAAATTCTGCTTCTTTCTTTTGGTGCTTGCAACTCTTGTGAATTTTGCCCCCTTGTTTATTTATTCTGGGAGATAAAAAATTGAAGCTAACCCACCTACCCTTACATAGTAGATGTTTTTCCCTGAATTTGTGATGTTATGTGTGTGCATCTCAGGATAGACTCCACCCTTTGGAGATATGTAAGCTTTTAATGGAAAAGCTGTATCAAACCCACTTAGGGCAAACCCAGGCCCTCAGTTCTGAGACCAGCACATTGCTTGGATGGCTGTGTGGCAAATCTAAAATTACCCTGAACTTACCAGCCTGGCTGCCTATTGAAAAGCACTTCCTAAGGATTACTCTCACTCTTCAATCCTTCTCCAAGGAACAAAGTCAGTTGGCTTGGCCAAAGGGCAGCAGGTGTGTCTGTCAGCCCTTCCACCCCACCACTGCATAACTGCTAATCCAGGCTCTCCCAAAGACCTTTATAGCCCAGTACCTGTGCAGAAGGCTTGGAGAAATGCCAGCAGGGAAAGGGTTAAATGCTGACAATCAGGGACACCAGCATGCCAACAATGGGCAGGGTCTGGGAAAGCAGAACCAAACACCAAACTGCACAATTCTCATGCAGGGCATTTCCAAAGGAGTCTTCCCTCAGGTGACACAGCCTGATCCAGCAGGATGTCCCACTGCCTCTGCAAGGCTGATCCAACTAAAAGGCCAGGTCTTCTCCAAACAAAGATGGAAACATGAATTCTGTTTGGGGTGGGTTTTATTTTAGATTGAGAAGCTACACAAAGAGAGAACAAATATATATTTCCATGAGAGAAGGGAAAAAGAGAGTATCCCATTGTGTCACCCTCCTAATACAACAAACCATCCCAACCTGAGCCACAGGACTGGCTGCTCCCCAGGTAGGCAGGGAGTCCTTACTCCAAAGGGTACAGCACACAACAAACATCTGTAACATCTGCCCGAGGGTCACACAGCCCCAGACACAGCGGTATGGTCTTGTCTTTGCGTACGTGCACGTACATCTCTTCCTGGCAGACACTGGAAAGGCTGATACAGAGTCACATGGGAGAAACCCACAGCTTTGAAAGAGGAACAGCTACTGATGGGCACAAGGATCAACACACCCACACGGCACAAACACCTCTTCAAAGGAGTGGTTACTCTAAGCACAAGGCAGATACGTTTGTATCAGTGATACTGGATTGTACTGGAGTGGATGGCAGTGAATTTCAGAGTTCATCTTTCTCTTTAATAAAGTAATTAATCAAATGGTTTAGCATATAAAAATACAATAATCCTTCCTCCTAATCAGAGCAATTTGTGTTCAGATAGAAATAAAAGCACACACACATACACACCTCAGGATTGCTGCCAGAGAGCGCACAGGATAAAGAAAAGAAAACCATTTTCCTTGTCTCACACCAGGATATCCCATTCTCCTTCCTGTCTCCAGGGATAATGGAGTCTTTCAGCTTTGGTGCATAGTTATATTTGAAAGCCAAACAGCAACTTGGAATTTGTCCTGAAGGGAGCCAGGACAAGGCACCTTTAAGGATAATAAGGCAGAAGGGGACTCCTCATGTGCAGGGGTGGTCCTGCTATCCCTGAATCTGAGGGATCAATCAAAATCTAATCAAAGTCTTCACCCTCACAAAGTGTGAGTGAGTCAGTCTCAGTTTGTTGTAACCAAGAAGCTGTTCAGGAGCAGAGGTTTGCTCAGCTATTTGCAGTGCTACACATGGTCTCCATCCCATACAGCGCAACCTTACAAGAGTGCAGCCAGGATAGGAACTGAGGAAGTCTAAATAAGATTACGTCCTTAAAAGAATGGAATTCTCATGGATGGCAAACACACCATGAAGTGAAACACATGTGTGAAACACATGATATCTTCCCACAGTGGGCTTCAGGGAAGACAAGTCAACAGAGCATCTGTTGTGGAGTAGAGCAGGGAGGCAGCGACAGCTGGGCCACCTTGGTCACAATTATTTGACTAATTAAGTGTAAAATGTCATTAAGGTATTGCCTTAATGAAGCAGGGTTTGTTCAGTCAGATGCTCTCCAAAGCTGAAAACATGTCTTTGTCCCCTGCCAACAGGACAAGAAACAGTCCATGGCCTCAGATGGGGCCAGAATATCTTTAAGTTTGATCTATGTACTATAGGAGCCTGATCCTGCTGGGATCTGGGCAGACTCCAAGGAGCAAACAGACTCTGCAGGAGGGATACAGAGAAGGCAAACTGAACAAAATATGAGGAAGTTTCCTTCTGCTTCAACACTGACCACTAGGAAAACACTTTTTTTTAGAGGCCACATCATAAGAATACTCTGAGCACATAAAATGCCTTTAGTTACAGCCAAGAAAGATTGCTTTAAAAACATTGCTTTACTGCTGCTTTGTTGATCATGATCATCTTAAAAGGCCCAGACCAATCCTCTAATGCTGCTACAGAGGTATCTTCATCAGAAATCCAGAAACCACAGAAAGCTCAGGAAATTACATCAATGCACATCAGTGAAGGCCCTGGCCTGTCCTTTTTGCAGCATTCCTTCTGGTTCTAAAAAAAGCTACAATCCAAACCAGTTAGTATCCAGAGTATTTTTTATAGTTAAGCACAACTTTTCCTGTGGGAATGTAATCTGGGGGATTCAGATATTGTAAACAGTTCCTTGAGAGAACAGTTCCCTAAGTAATTTCCTTCTGTAACATGTAACTGCAATTAAGTTGCATGCACATGCCATATGCAGTTTAGTTTCAATTACTAAGTACATGCTTGGCAAGGAAGAGCATTACTTTCTCAGTGTTGTTTCACCAGAAGGAGCAAGTGAAAGCTATCCTAAGGAACATCCAAGACCAAATTTCTTGGTCTCTGTGGCTTAAAACCACACCGTTAACTTTGTATTACAACAGAGTTGGCTCAAAATCCATTTCCTCATACTGGTTCCTGTTGGTAGCCCTGCTTGCCTTGCAAGCAATATCTGTGGCCTTGGGAGACAAGTATAAATGTTTCTTGAGGAAGATTTTACATAAAAGCTGTGGGCCAGCTGAAATGTCCACAGTCCTCACCTCCTGCTGGCACCAAGATCTGAGGTTAAATCGAAATGAGATTTCACAACTGTTAAGGATGATGCATCTGCTGACACTGAGATATAATTTGATAAGCAACCACCCTGTGAACTCTTGAATGAAAGATTTTTTTTTCTTTTCAAAATCTCTGTACAGAATCAAATATATTTATAAGCCCTCAGATGTGGATTCTTTTAAGGAGGTGATAGTTGTTAGCTAACAATGAACCTGGCTTGGGGACTCAGAGTCTGCTCCTAGCCAGCTTGGCAACTTCTTCAGAGAGAGAGTTCTTTCACCTTTTTCTGTATTCATTCACTTGTGCAGAGGTGAACTGATGCCTGCTGGTCACAAGTGCCTGTAAAGACCCCATGCAGAGAATGAATTCTGTGTTAACATTAACTTCCCAAGACAGTGCTCAGATGTGAAGACCTACGTGAGCCAAATAAGACTCTGGATCACTTATTGTCAGAGTTAAAATATTCAGGGGCAACTGTTTCAATGTGTTGCCCAAAGTCTGGAAGAAGTTTTCGATCATTTGTCAAATGATCCTTTTTCTTCCTGCCAGAAAACTGAAGCAGCAACTGAGCATGGCTTTCATCAATATGCTCCCATAGATAACAAGTTGGTCTTTGTCCTTGGAGAATAATGGTCTCCATGCATTTATCTGAGGAGCATTTGTCCTAGCTATCCTGCAAGGAGGAATGTGGGTCAATCCCTGATCCAGAACTGTACTGCTGTTCCTCTGGTCATGGCCAGCAGCCAGCAGTAGCTTATCAGAGCTCCATGCTGGCCCTCTGCATGCTGCCTTGTTGCGTTTCAGAAACTTCAGCACTCCTGCCTCTCCCTGCAAATCCCACCCAATCAGCAGGCAGGGATTTGCGTTGTCTCTACTACGTGCCAGACAAATGCCTGCAACCTCTTTGATCCTATCCATATCAAAACGCCAAGGAAAAGATGCTTCTTTATCCTCTTGCTTACCCTGTGCCTCTGCAGCCTTCCAGCTCTTCTTTCTTTTTCTCCACCTTTGTCACCCAAGACAACTTGTTCTTTGAGTTGAAAAGCTCTTTCTCCCACTGAAACTAGTCAGGAACTAAGCTGTCAAGACTCCCAATTTAGATGTTGAATCCATGGTGATGTCTGTTAATTTACCTGAGCCTAAGCTTTTATGGCATGTCAGGTGGAGATGGAAGGAGGCAGATAGAACAGGGCACTGTGTTGTCCTTGACTAAGTCACATCCCTTTTCTGAACTGCAGCTCACACTGACACCAGCTCCCCCCGAATTAGCCCAGCAAATGCATCCACCTGATCTCTTTTCCATCAGTCATTCCTCCTCTAGCACAATGCAACTCTGCATACTTTCATTATTTGATTACTTTAAAATTTTTGAAAAGTTCATTATTCTCCAAGATTTACTGTTCTGTGTCTTAAGAGTGCTTTCCAAATATTGCAGCTCACTATCTTCCATACTATGGCCTGTGAGAGACATCTAAGTATCTGTAAACCTAATTTACAGAAAAGGAAGCACAGGTATAGGACTTATGCAACCTGCCTAATTCTGTGCTGTTCATCTGTCACCAGATCAGTCATTACAGGCAGCTCTGTCATTATGAACTGCCAAGGCTCTGTTAAAATCAGTGAAGATGTAACAATTTTTCTTTGGTGAGAGTTTGTGTTTTGGTCTTTTGACTTGGCACCTGAGGCCCACTGCTCACTGCCTGTGGGAGGGTCAGGATTAAAAAATTATTATTTCCAACAGGATGATGCTTTACAGTGGCTGCAGAAATGCTCTGTGTTAGCAGAAGACCAGAGTGAAGATTTAGCCCAGGTTGTTGACCAATGCTGCAAATCTTTGCAGAAGAGGTGGTGATTTTGGCCCTTTTGCAAGCTCTTGAGGACACCACCTACAAAATATGGCCGGGTGGTCAGTCACAGAGATGACAGGGACTCTGACTTGACTGAAAGAGGAACTGTGTAAACACCTCAGATTTCATTGTTCTTGCTGCAAAATAAGGAGGAACCACAGGAAAGGTGACACTGCGTCAGGTCCATATCTGGCACTGGTCACAGCAAATGCCCAGGGAAGAGTATGGGAACAGAGCAAGCACCAGCAAGCACCAGGAAAGCCTGCCCCTCACACCCTGCCCCCAGTCTCTCACCACCTCAGGGCCATTGCCTCCACAGGGCTGCCCAGGAAAGACAAAGCAGAGATTGTTTCACCAACCCATGTGGTACTTGGCTGGCTTCACATCTCTGTTCTATCTGAGGGACACCGTCCCATTTGTCATATCCTGGCAGAGGAAGCCCTGGGATTGGCTCTAGTCTGTTCCCAAGACAAAAGCCATCCTGACTGCAAGAGACATCCCCAGAAGGGGTTGAAGGGGTTTGCAATTACCCAGTCTTGTAGAGCAATTACCAACACCAAGACTCAGCTAAAGCTCAGTTCTTTGGAATACAAGATCTTTACTGAAAATAAGCTACAAGCAGCAAGTCTTGGCATCTTCCACTGCTCACTAAAGTTTTTCAGGCATCTACACCCATATCTCACAGCACAGAACAAGCACCTTTCTCAATATGAGAGACAGATACTGCTTGGCACTCTCAGAGCAACTCTAAATTACCAAGGCTTACAAGCCTCTGCTGAGTCCAGAACAGGAGCAAGGCAGAATGCAAACCGGAGCCCTCAAAACTCTGTCCACTCTCCCATTTATTCCTGAGCCACTGAAACATAAAAAGAACACAGGGTATCCCAGGAAACAGGATGAGATCAGGCAGTGATAAATAAAGCATGGAGTGAAAAGTCAATCCTAGAGAAGAAATAAAAGATGGCGCAAAATGGTCAAAGAAACTTCACTGAAAAAAAAGGCTTGCAGACTCTTCAATATTTCATAGAATCCACTGAGTTGGAAGGGACCCATGAGGATTATGGAGGCCAACTCCTGGCCTTGCACAGGACACCTGAAGAAACACACCATGTAATTTCCATATCTTTCTCTCAAAAAGCAATTCCTGTACTAGAGGGTAGGACATGAGCTGAGAAGAGAACTTGTACCTTCCAGAAAAAAAAACAAAACAACAAAAAAAAAACCAACCTAAAATCAAATAGAAAATAGTGTTTTCTGAAAATAGTTTTTTCAATATGAAATTTATTTCCTCTTAAAAAAAAAAAAAAGCAACTGACTAAAGGTTTCCAATTTACAATTATGCCAGGAGGACAGAAATATATGTCCAGACAAGAGACACTGGAGTTAAGTACCACACTGGCACCAGATTTGTGGAGTGCCTGGGTGAGAGCAGAGCAGATACCCCTGGCTGCACCTGCAAGGCTCCTGAGCATCTTCCCAGCTCACAGCCTCCTGGAATAGGAAGCTCCCAGTGTAACACATTACACTGCAGGTCAAGAACAGCATCTCAAATGTACATACATCAACTGCCCTTTCATTTTTCTCCCAGCAGCCTGAAGACCCTGACCACTCAGAGCAAATGCCAAGTCTTCTATCTCATCAGGCTTACCACCAGGATCCACATCATTAGAGTGGCAGTTGTTGGAATGCATCACATTTTTTACAGTCTCAGAGAGTGCAATACTGGATCTTTCATATTCCTACCTTAAGAAAACAATCCAGGTAGAGAGTTCTAGAATGCATCACTGCTATCAAGAGGAATGGGAACATCACAGAAAAACAAGAAATGTAAATTTTGACACAAATGATTAAAAAAATTACCAAGAAGATGTTCTGACAAGCAGTAATTATCCAGCACTACTGCTTCCATAGATCCCTCTTGTTGTGCACAAACAACAAAAGATCTGGCACATTTTTAAGTCTAAGGTAAGGCTTCTGTAAGACTACAGATTTCTGGCAGGTTAAGAGCTAAATACTCATGGTTCATATAAATCTTATGATACCTATCTCCAAGAAAATTAATATCAGATTTCCTTGATTAAATTCCTGCTATGAGAATGATTTGACCTCCTTAAATCCAACTGCTCTAATAAGCTTTACATGGGACTAGACATTCACATCGATGCAAAACAGGGCAACCCATAGTGGGGACTGGGAGAGGCGTTCAGTGAAGACTGATCTTCTGCATTGCTATTGGAAATACTAATACTGGGGTATTTGCTTCAATTCTCCATTTCCTGGGATCTCCTGTCAGGAACAATGTGCAACAGCCTATGGCACACTGCTACAAGGATGAAGCAAGCTCCAGCTGCAGCACCATAGGGAAGAAGGTTCATATGGCAAAGTAGTGCCTTGCAAGGAAGCCCAGCCTTTGGGTTTGCCCAGGGCAGTACTTCTTCCTGTGTGCAACAACATCTTCGGGGTGAAAAAAATTAAAATTGTGATTTCTTCTCTGAAATGGTGCTGTGATGCTTCAAGAATTGTCAGGTTAGTACTGCCCTCATGTGCTGATCCTAGCTGCATGTGTCACAGTGAGGGAGAGCAGCATAGAACCACAGAATGTTAAAGGGTTGGAAAGGACCTTATAGATCATCCAGTCACAATCCCCCTGACATGTGCAGAGACAGCTCCCACAAGACCAGGTTACTCAAGACCTTATCCAGCCTGGCTTTGAACACTGTCAGGGCTGGGGCATCTACAACCCCCCTGGGCAACCTGTTTCAGTATCTCACCAAATTTCATCTCTTTCAGTTTGTATCCATTGGTCCTTGTCCTACCACTACAGTTCCTGACAAAACCCCTCTCTGGCCTCCCTGTAGGCCCCCTTCAGATACTGGAAGGTTGCAATGCAACCTTCTCTCCTCTGGGCTGAACAACTCTGTCAGCCTGTTTGTTCAGGGGATGTGCTCCCATCCTCTCTGTGGCCCTCATCTGGACTTGCTCCAACAGTTCCATGTCCTTCTTATGTTGGGAACACCAGAACTGTACACAGTATTCCAGGGGGTCTCACAAAAGCATAGGAGCTAAACGTCTGATGAGGGATAAAATTAAACTACAGAACCCAGCCCAGAGGAGACAGTCAAGATTTTCAGCTTCCTTGAGATATCCATATACTATTTTAAAATCTAAGTATTTGGGGTTCTGGTGCACTCAGATATTTCAAAGAGATACTTAGACCTAAAAATGTGCTTTTGGTTTCCTGAGTTGAAAGGAGTTAGGATGATTCTAACAGGAAGAAATGCAAAGTTGATCTGCTGGGCAAAAGACACCCCTACAGAACTGTTTTTGTCTCCTTCCATTTTGAAGGTGAGCCAAGGAATGACCAAATTTTGTGGACATGGCTACAAATAAACTGGTTAAGAAGAAACTCCACCTGCAGTTCCCAGAGGGCTGACTAATCCTTTCCTACTTGGATTGTCTGCATGGCTGCAGTGACTGGATTAACCGCCAGTCATGACACACTCACGGTGCTCTCCCTCAGGGGTGGCCACATCTCACTCTGAGTGTCCTCCTGCAAAATTCATTGTGTCCCTCTACCAGGAGGGATGCTTTGCAAAGGAAGGCAGCTGCTGCTATGGAAGTGGAGTTTCCTCTTCCTAGCACTGATATCTTTCCAAGATAGATTCCTCTGAAGCAAGAGAGGAGAAAGAAAAGGGAGACTTTAGCATTACGTTATATCAAAGCTAAGTGTAAATATATATTGCTGAACTAACAGTGTGGAGATGGACAGTATGCAATCTCTTGTTGAAGTAGCCAAGGGAAAACATCACAAGTCCAGGCAAATCTTGGCATGCGTAGTCATAATTTTCTAACTATTAGCATCCAAAGAGCCAAGATAAAGCAACAGGATCTTGGTAATGAGTTTGCCAGACTTTTTTCAGGTTTGGGATGTAAATTCAGGAAGGACAAAGTAAAGGCAAAAAGGAGGAGTAAGAATCCAGAAGCATTTTGCTGAGCTTCAAGCAAAGGTTACCACCTGCCATGAAAGCATTATCCTGGCCCAGCACCACCCAGAATTACTACAAGTAAACTGCTGCCAGAAAAGCATTTATGCAGGACCAAACTCCTAGCAGGAACAGGTAGCCAGCTCCCACACAGAGATCACTGGGGTTATAAACTCACCTCTTCTCTTCCCCTTTCAAGCCAAGACTCAGAGTTGCCTGTCATCAGTTTTCACATGATGTGTGTTTAGAATTTTTCTTCCCCTATTCAATTTTGCTGAAAGAGAGTATGACTAAAGTTGTTTTGATTGACCCATTAAATAAACATGAGCAGGATGGGGTGTGCTTACAGAGAATCATGTGTGTTTTCATGAAGGGAACTGACTTTTGGATTTATGGATGTTGTCACAGGCAAGCCTCTTTCAGACATACTAATGCTGGAACAGACTACATTTTTTTCAGCTCCAAAGGGATTACTTTAACAAAATTTGTTCTTCCTCTGGATTTTTTCCTAAACAGCTTGGTTAGAAGAAAGGAGGAAACCAATCCTTGATCTGCACGAAGATCTCCTCTGTTTGGTCCCACAGTTTGGGAGTTACTAAACAAGGAAAGCTGCTATGAGCTGCAAGGTAGAGAGAGAATGAAACAAGTCCCTGTAAGCTATTAATTTAGGTATGAAACAAAAAAAAAATTAAAAATGGAAAACAGCTAGTTTTAAGGACATATTCAAGGTTTTTAATGGATCGGAGAACATGAGAGGAAGGGGAGTGGGAGAAAAATGTTGCTTCATATCATGGCTGTAATGGTTGGTAAGTGTTTCCAGGCTGGAAAACAAATTCAAGCAACATTTTCACCCACTCTGGAGTTTTTAGACTGCTTCTCCATTCAAACAGCAGCAAAAATTTTTCCCTACAATAAGCACATACTGGGTTTGTCTACCTCCCTATCTTCAACCCATCTGAGCCTTCACTAATGGCAGTCTTGTTAAACCAGAAGCCTCGATGGCAGTTCTCACGTACATGTACACAAGTGTGCAGTGCAACATGTATACATGTACACACATAAACTATCAAAATACTATTATAAAGTGAGTGTTCCTCCTCAACACCCCTTCTCTGCCCACCCCACCTCCCTCCCCTTCCCCAGGCCAGCATATTTCAAAGCAGACTGGAACTGAGCACTTCCAAGAGCCATCCAGCCCCAGGTCGCACTGCAAAGGTCTGGGTGCGTTGCCAAGTCCCTGGGCCACCTCGAGGACTGGTCTTGACGAGCGGCCTCGAGTTCACAATACTGATTCCTTGGATTCAGGGTCTGCTGTGCTGCTTGTGTTGGAGACTGGGTTTTTGTGGGTTACCAAGGGTGACGTTTCTGCTTCAGACTTGCTGTTAGCAACTGCTTCTACGGTGACTTCCTTGAGCTCCTGCTCTCTCTCTTTCTTGTCTTTTTCATTCAGGTAATTAAGGATGCCTGCTCCCAGGGCATCCCCTTCCACATTCACAACTGTGGTGGTTCGGTCCCTGGTGAAGATCAGAAACAAAAACCAAAGCAGCAGGGTTTTAGTTTTAAGAGAGTTATAACACAATAAGGGGAGCTGATTCACCCCTGCAGAACCATGAACATCAGTGGAACCAGACAAGGGAGATGTAGTTATCAAAGGTCTTTTCCACAGAAGTATCATCTCTATTTCAGAACGAAAAATGTGCACCAGAGCAGGTTTAAGGTCAGTCAAACTTACTATCAGCTGGTTCTGGTCTCTCTGTGGGTTGCAGCAATGGTACTACTCTTTCTCAGGCATTCTGCTTTTCACAGGTCACCTCCTTCCTCTTCCCTTTCCGCAGGCCAGCATTTTTCAAATGCATGTTCAGAGCAGGAACTTACTTCGGGCTTATCCAGTAAGTGACTCAGAACACCCAGCTCTCTTTTTTAACTACTGTGACTGATATCTTAATCCAAGCACCTACTTAAGGGATCTTTCCAAAAGCAGGCAGAATGACTTGTGTTCTCTGCATTTGTTCCCCATAGCACCTGCCCTAATTTTTGGTCCTACAACACAAAACTCATGTGCCAGGGTATAATGGAAGAGATTTATGAGTCATAAAGATGAACAACATTCTCATGTGTCTTTTGAGACTTGCTAGTCATTCTGCAGCCTAACTTTACCAGAGGCTCTACGTGTAATTGTGGTCCTCTCTGGTAATTAAACAGCTGGCATTAAAGCAAGACATGGGACTCCTTCCTCCCTCTTTTCCCCTTTTGTTACAAGGCTGAGCTCCTTGACTTGAATACTGTTGACCACAGAGGGATGCTACCTATCTTAAAAGGAAGGCAACCAGCACAACACAGGCTAAGAGCAGCCCTGAGTGGAAGGACAGGCAAGTTTTTCACTCTTGCCTCGAAGCACTTGCAAGTATAGGTGTGGAACACTCAGCCACTACTGTACTTCCTTAGAAAGACAGGATAAAAACAGCTAGCCAGAGCTTTGCCTGTATCTCCTGTCCTCTGGAGGTGGCTGATCCCCAAGAGGTTACAGTAAGAAAGAGTGATGACCCTAAGGTAGCTGTAGGAATATGCTCCACGGACACGTGTTGTGTGGGAAGGGAAGCTAATACAGCTGCCACATCCCACAGTCTCTGAAATTCAAGGGTGTCCTCAAGCATCCTAATTTCCACATCTGCTGTGGGAATGCACCATCTATACAGACAGGCTGGTGTTTCCAAAAAGCAGTGCTGAGGCATTATGTGCAGTGCAAACATGTGCAGTGCAAACCAGGAGCTGCCCAATAACTCACCAAATGGAAACAAATTACCTAAGCAGGATTCAGATCACTTGACCCATGTGACCTCTAACCTCCTTCCCTGAAGATGGAAAGGAAAGGTGATAATACTGTCTGCTAAACTTGTGACACTCAGCAGTGTGTTCCAGCCATGACAGTGCCCAGGGCAGTCCCAAGTGTCACAAACCCTGTGTTCCTGCCCTGCCAATGGACAGCACCCCTCTATGACACTTGTGTGGGCACTTTGACCACAGTCTTGAAACTATTAAAAAAGTTCAAACAATAGCTGACAAGAGCTTCTGATGGAAACTGCTTCGCACACATGACTTAGGAAGTTTTCCACAAGTGATGTTCAGACTCAATTTCCTTTGTCCTCCCCTGCCCTTCTAGCATCCAATTAATTTCCAGCAATATCAACACATTCTAAATGGACTTTTAACAACCATTCTAATGGGAATTAAAGCCAAGAAGAAATACATTTCCACAAAGGCTGAATAAAAAAGCTGAAGAGGGATTTCAGCATGCTGACTGCTTTAAATGGGAAGGCACCACCTTTTCCATTCTCCATCACAGGTTACCTGTCCCATGGAGTCTTATTTTCTACTGGGTTACATTCTGTACTTTGACCACATTTCCAGCTAAACATGCTACAAGAATGCTGTAGTGACGTGGATGTCACTCTCTTTTCCCATGTAACAAGTGACAGGATGAGAGGAAATGGCCTCAAATTGCACCAGAGGACATTTAGATTTGATATTATGAAAATCTTTTCATGGGAAGAATTGTAAATCATTTGAACAGACTGCCTGTGAAAGTGGCGGAGTCCCCATGACACAGCTTAATGGGGAGCACGGTGTGTGGTGCTACACTGACAAAATCTGAACGTTTTTTTCCAGCCTTAGCCATTGTGAAATTGCATGTTTCCATGCTTCCCAAGAGCAGGTAGGCGGGGCCTGCAGTACTCACACGATCCAGTCCACAGCCAGTATGAGGGACAGGTCGTTGGTGGGCAGCCCAATGGCCTCCAGGATGATGGCGATGGTGAGGACGCCTCCAGCAGGGACCCCGGCTGCTCCCACGCTGGACGCCGTGGCCGTCACGCTGCAAAGCAACGTCCATGCCTGGTTAGAGGACTCCCAGCTCTCCTCTGCTGCACTCTGCCACCTGCTTCCCCACCATGGGAACTGTAAACAAATGCTCCAGCATGGGACACGCCGAGCGTTTGCTTCCCAGGCAAACCCCTTCCTGCCTGCTGATGCAAAGGAACGGGTACAGAGGACGGGCTCAGCAGGGATCCGCAGCAGTTACCGTGGCGATGGCTCTGGGGTCAACACCAGGACTGCCTTCTCAGGATAACAAACAACCAACACAACTGTATCCTGCTGCCTTACTAACACTCCCAGCTCCAGTATGCGGAGGGACTTACAGCTCCTGACCCCACGTGTACAAAGGAAAACTGCCATGCAGGACACAGCACCTTCTCTGTGTCTCATTTGCATCCCAACACAGACCCTAAACCAGGAGCTGGAAACCTGCAGTGCCTGTGCTCAACACACCTTTTTGTGTGCAGATGTCTGCAACTCAGCTCTCCTTGGGCTATCACTGCATCATCCTCAGACCTGTCTTCACACCTGATTCACTGAGAGTACCTGAAAAGCTGATTTGGCTACCCACCCAAAAAAAAAAAAAACAGTGCCCAGCCCTGCCTTAAATAGACAAACAACATACTGGGAAACATAATCAAAAAGAAAATAAAACCTGGCCAGGAAGGGTGAAAAATGCCAGGAACCAGCCCTAGGAGGCATGTGGTGGATGCAGCTGTGGCTGCTGGGCACAGTGAGGAGTTTACAGAACTGCTTGTAGCATCCTCATTTAAGGGATTTTGAGGAGAGAAATGAAGATAATGACACTTCATGGGATATGGGGCATTGGAGGATATTCCAGGCATAGAGGGGAGAGAGTCTTAGAGAAGGAGGTAGGACTGGGGAGGTGGAGGGGATAATGGAGCAAAGCAGTTAGGAGGGGAAGAACAAGAGATCTGTTCAGGAAAGCCAGCAATGTGATGGTAGGAAGAACAGAGATAAGCAGGAACAGAGTCTTTAGAACAAAACTCGTGCATAAGGAACCAAGGAGCTGGCAGGAGAATTTTCTAAAACATCCAGAGGGGGAGTCAGGGGATACTTTCTGAGCAGTGCAGAATGCCTCAATTACCCAGCCTAATGGTGACTGAAGGATGGAGGAGTGAGATGCTTAAGGAAGGAGAGGAATTTCATGTGAGAAAGAGCTTTAAACAGCTCAAGGACTGTTTCAGAATTCAATTACCCCTACCAGGTTCCACCTTTCATTAAATCGAGACTCTGGCAAATCTTGTAAAGGTTTAAAGACTCCATCCTTTAATCACCCTATAATTATGTTACATAGCAGTTTGTAAGCTTTATGTCAGAGATGTGGAATGCTAACTGTTAGCTATTAACGGAGAGACCACAGCTTGAATGTGTCTGGGGGCCAGAAGAATGTGGTTGCAAACAACTTACAGAATTGTGAAGATCTGCCCAGGGTTGAGGTCGACATTATTCAGCTGAGCAATGAACACAGCTGCCATGCACTGGAAAATAGCAGCTCCATCCATGTTTACAGTGGCCCCAATGGGAAGGATAAACCTGCTGATCCTCTTGTCAACTCCGTTGTTCTCCTCGATACACTTGATCATGGACGGGAGTGTGGCAGAGCTGGAAACAGAACAGGGAGAAATGAAACGGAGCACCAGGGTGCTCTGAATGTCCCATCACTGTCTCATAGCTTCCATGTTGCTGGTATGCTGCAGACAGGACTGTCAAGGCAACAATGCCATTTTACAGTCCCTCTCTGGCATGATGGCAATGAGGGGCCTTCCTGGTTCAGTTTTGAGCAGAGGTATTTAATAATCTGCTTTCATCCAGAAATAGCTGATAAGGACTTTAATCTCCCAGAAGCAAGAACTCATGACTTAACACAGTATGCAGCATTACATGGCTGTAGAATGAACAAGTCTCAAACTACAAACATGCAGTAACAGATGCAAATATAGCAGGGGAGGTTGGAACTAGATGATCTTTGAAGTTCCTTCCAACACAAACCACTGTATGATTCTATGATAATATAAACACAACAGATGCAACAGCAATCTCTGTTAATGCTGTATTAGTACCTTCTCAAATGAACAGAAAAATAATTAAAAATAAAACATCACTCTTGGATTTACTTCTCGCATTATAATTTAGATAGTTTTATTCATAAACCTCTCCTACTATGCAGAAGGAGAGTTTATAAATAGTACTTCAGCGCCATCAGCAGACATGCGACTGCTTTTGGGGACGACCTGAAATGATTTTATATAGTATGTCATCTGATCAGGTGTTTGTATTTGAGAAAAGTGTAAATGACATGCTCAATCATTTGGTTATGACAAATAAAAGCTGATCAGGCCAGATCTTTGAAATAAATAATGTTAAATGCCTTTACACTAACAAGCAAGTCTGCTTTGCTCCTACAAAATTAGTCTAAATTTGTTCCAGGTCCTTCTGAACTTAAAAAGTAAACTTCTGAGGACAAAGTCACTCACTACTGACCCTCACTTCACTAAAAAGGACAGCTGGCAGGATCATTTAAAGGCAATTTTTTCCCCCAAGATATTTCCAACTAGGCATCATGCTATGGCCTCCATATTTTGAGGAATTATGTTCAACAGCTGATTATCAGGCTGACGACAGCAGTGAGCGTCTCTGTGCTCAGAAGACTCAGAACTCTCTCCTTTCTGCAATCTCAGGAACAACAGTCACACCTTAAAATAAAACTGGATACAGCCAGTTTAGGGTGACAAACATACCCAGGCTATAGTCTCAGAAGTGGCACAGAAACCCACCTGGAGCAAGTGGCAAAGGCAGTGGCAAGTGGTGTGATAAGTCCTAAGAGAAAACGATACGGATTTTGCCGTGTGGCTGCAAAATAAATAAGTGGCAGAATGATTCCTCCATGGATGACGTGGCCCAGGATAGAGGCAAAGATGTATTTTCCCAGACTGGTCACCAGAAGCACAATATCTTCCATTTCCACAATCTTGCTCCCAACAAGGAACATAATGCCAATAGGTACATACCTGTGTAAATGAAATATTGGCTGTCATTAAGTAAAAACAACAAGCCTTGGAAAACATGACATTTTCTGTCCTAGAGATAATATTCCCCTAAACAATCTGCTGCTCCTACTGAAGGGTGATTCTTTATTCACCACACGCTCAGGTTAGGCAAATTTGGAAGGCTTTTCTAAGACTCTTGTTTGGTGGATGGTAAGCAGTCAAATTTTAAAAAGTCTGTTCACTTATGCCCTCAGACACAAGGCAAGGAGAGTGCCAAAGGGAAAGTGAGTGGGAAGCAGAAATGCTGCCAGGAGCTACCAGGGCAAGACACCAGTGAGGAGAGGAGGGAAGGGAAGGGAGCAGCATCACATCACTGGAGTACAGACAGGGGTCAAAGAGTTGGGTTTCAGACATGCAGAAACTGCCAGCAGGAGTACAGAGTCAGGTCATTAAAATCACAGACACACTGGGTGCCAGCTCTGTGGAGGTTAAGAAAAAGCTGTGTACATACCAGAGAGCTCAGCTAAAGGCTGCTGATGCATTTGCCAAAGACAGCAATTAACTCTGCTATTTGCCTAAAAAGGACTAAGTTAAATGATCAGGCTCCCAGAGCTTCCCCCAAGCCACATTCATGCCTCCTATCTAGAAACATGCCACGTCAGCATTTGTTTGAAGTTTCCTTTGTAAAGAACACGTGGAGCTGCTCCAGGGGAAGGGCCACCTGCACGCTACAGCCACACCTCTGGTCCCAGTAGCCCTGAAAAGACTGAACTGCCCTTGCACCAACAACACACCAGCTCTAAACAAACTGTGAATCACTGCAGGCCTGGGGCCTGCTCCTTCCTAAGCTTTACTGGGATGTTTGTGTCTGAGTACCTCTGCTGATGCTGTCCACACTTCATCCCTTTCTTCTAAGATTAAGAAATACTAAAAGACCACCCAGCTCCCTAAAATCCTGCCCCAGGAAAATGTGTGACTAAAAAAGATTTACCTGTACGTCTCAGGAATAAAGAATCCAATGCCCATGTTCAGAGAAGCTGATTTGTGGAGTCAGGACAAACTTCAGAAGATTTGGTTAAGCATGCAAAGGTCTGGAAAGGTGGGCAAGCCTTAAGGCTGCTAAAATCACTCACTTTTTCCTGGCCTGCCTCTCCCTCAGTAGTTCTGCAGCTCCTCTGTTCCATGCAGAGAGCATGTCCCTATATCCCAGATCCATGTGAGCATCCTCTGTCCTCCCTTGACCAAATCTCTAGGGGAGCCTGTGGAACATCCCACAATTAGCCTCTGCAATTCTGCCTTTAAACTGTGTTTGTGAGGGCCCTGATTAGTCAGATCCAGCTGAGCCCTGGTCCTGCACAAGCTCTGAACACTGAATTCCTCCCCTTGAAGAGGGAGGCTGGAGAGGAAAGAACTGAAAGTTGAGAACCAAGTGCTGCTAAAGCACAAGAGTGGCTGTTGAACAGGACCAGATATGAGCTCAAGCTGCCTTTGCCCCTGGTAGTATGGTTTCACCATTCCAATGGTATCCCTTGGAAAGCACATGCAGCTTTACAGATTTTGAACAAATAACAGGACTACACAAGAGCCTTAAAGAAGGAAAGAGAACAAGTAAAGGTTTCACTGTTAAGGGTCAGCAGTGGTCCCTATAATCCACAAAATAAAGGATTACATACCAACTGATTGGCTTGAAGTGCTAGCACTGTAATAAGCTGAATGCATGAACTGCCTCTTATCAGTATTCAGTGTCCAAGGAATTACACTCAAGAGCAAAAAGCTTAAGCTGCTTGGAGACTGAATTTTTCAATCCCTTATGATAGCAACTAACACAGAGATCTGCCTGTGTAAAATCAGGTATTTTGTTAAAACCCTTCTACTTCTCAGGGAGAGGAAAACAGTAGGAATGAAAAATGCAGAATGAAGGAAGAAAGAAATATGTTTAAATATACATTTTAAATATACATTTAAATATACATTTAATACATTAGGTACATTTACAGCTTTTTCACCAGCTTTGGAAAGGGAGTGAGAAATGTCCCACTGTTAATTTGTTTGCTAGCTATCTTTATCTTTTGTATGTGAGGTATTAGTACTGTTGGTTTCAGAGGAGCAGCCTAACTCCATACAGCTACCAAGGACAGCCATGATACTGCTCTGAGACCCAGGTTCATCCCACCTGATGGAAAACCCAGCCAGGAGGCTGCTCCTACCCCAGCTTAGGTAGCCTGAACCACTCTCTAGAGGTGCCTGCCTCCTCCAAAGCTGGTTTCTTGCCTAATGAGGAAGTTTAGTGTGCTCCAGCTCCCAACTAAGAGACTTTTTTTGGCATCAAAAGCTTTGTGGGATTGATCAGAGCACTAGTAAGCCCACAAACTTTTCCAGACTCCAAGGAATTAAGTGAAATAATGTATTTGCTTATTAATAGGCAAGAGCAAAAAAATCAGCATTAGGAAATACTGAGTTTTCTTTCCACTAAATAATGAAAATGGAGTTCTGGAGAGGATTTATGGGCAACCCTTTGAAGTTCTCCAGCCTGATACCTTAAGCTATGAGTGATTGTCTCATTACAGGGCACAAGCAAGGAGAAAACACCCCATGGTGCGACATCACAGCATTCACTTTTGCTGTGATGAGGGATCTCACAGGAAAGAGCTGGACAGAGAGATGAAATGTGAGTTTGCTGATCTGTGCATAACACTGCAGTGCAGGTGTTTCTGCAGTCACACACTTACCACATAATCCAGGTAACCAAGACCATTGTTGCCTCATTGAATGAGTTAAAGAAGCGAATCAGATCTTCCCCCTCTGGGCCAAGCTTTTTCAGTGCCACTCCTAAAACCAGAGCAAACAGCACCAGTCCCAGGATGTTCATCCCTCTGATATCAGTACCTACAGGGACCTGCAGAGACAAAAAAAGAAGGCTTGTTACATGTGAGAAAGGACAAAACCAAACAAAAGGGTCATTTTGTTGCTGTCTGATTGATCTGAAATCAACAAGCAGAACCTATTTTGGAAAGGCAGAGCCTATTTTGTCAAAGGGAATCAAGGAGATCTGGATGCAGCTCAGGTACAAACCTCCCTAGTTATGAGCTGGCATGGATTCACTGAGAAGGAAAGGGCCTGCCCACGTGCCCTTCAATATAATAGCTGTGCTCTCAGTGACCTGAACAAGAAAACTCCCCAATTTACTCAGGACTTTAGTGCAATGATGATACCAAGGTGAAAACCATGAGAAAACAACCAATGCTATGAAGCAGAAGGAGGGGAGAAAGGCAGCAAACTGTGGCAACCTACTCCATCTGTCCATGTCAGCTGTGGGAGACAGAACAGAAGAGAGATACCTGTTCCCCTTCTCAGAAATCTGTCACTGCCTGGAAAAAGAGAATAAAAACAGGATCCACCTATTGACAAAAACTAGTCTACCCACAGGTCTGCTCTGTGGTTAGTCCTTCACGGTTTGCTTCTCAAAGAGAGCCAGAGCTCTCTTTGGCAATGTAGTATCATATGAACTCAATGAGTACTCTTGTGGCTACATAAAAATATAATTGTTTTGACAAACTGGGTTTTTTTCTCTCCAACTTGGCAGTACAAGCATGTCAAATCGTTGTTTTATTTGGAAGACTTTCTACAACAGATGAAGTTTGTGTACAAGTTTTGGCCTTTTGGCTAGTTTAAGTGGACACTAGCTCAACATTAGGAAAGAAAAATACATTCTGAGCTAAAAGTTTGAATTTAGTATCGACTAAAGAACTCAGGATACTGATCTCCTAAATCTGATAAAACCAGCCTGCTTAAGATTCATGTTTTTTCTGGAAGTACACTGCTGAACTGGACTCTCTCTCAATGGCAGGTGGAAAAAAAGTCCTGCAGGGAAATGGGTAAAATGTAAATTATACACAAAAGCAGGAAGATTAAACTGCTGTTAAGGGAAGTGTTTACAAACAGTGAAGGTGCTGGCTTTTTTATTCACTAGGTAAAAAAAAATTAGATATGGAATCTGCAATTTTTATGGTATTTGCTTGTTCAGGATTAAGCTGCCACTATTTATTTGACACCTGATTGAGAGAACTGAGAACACAGACAGATATTAAGCAGGAGGCACAGTGTATCTCCAGAGATGTCTGAGGAAACATGCTGTCACACACACTAACACTTTTCTGTCTGGATAGCTTTGGCTATATTCTGTTTTTTCTGACTGAAAGTTCTAAACTCTTCTGTGGCTAGAAAAGTAAAGACAAAACAAGTGACCCCATCCTATTAATTAAACAAACCATCTGTGTACATGGGATGTTATTTTATAACATATATCATTCTATACTGGGTTTGTTTGATAGAGGGGTAATATGAAAAGTTCAGCTAGAACAGAATTTTACCATAATGGGCCCAAACCATTCCACAAAAAAAGTCCTAAAAACAGTGAATACTCTCTTGTTTTGGTTCCCATTGTGAAAAAAAAATGGTATAAAACTTTGCCATGAAACAGAAATTCAGTGTTTCAATGCTTTAAGAGCCCAGCATTCAGACCTGGATGTTGCTGGGAGAGAAACTCTGTACCCTCCAGAATGACAGTACATGGTCTTCTTTCACCCTTGGAGAAGTCTCTGTCCACCTTGCTCCCAGCACTGTGGTAACTGCTGCTGCTGTTCTCCAAGTGCTCACACTCACCCAGCACTTCAAGCCTAGATTTTGAGATCTGGGGACCCCTGACCTCTTGGTGACCAGAAGATGACTGTGTGTGCCACTGCCAAAAGCTTGTGAGCTGTCTCCCTCTATTTGCTGTCATCCTGTCCCTACTTTCAGGCCTTGCTCTCCCCTTGTCTCTCACTGATTTCTTTACAACACACAATACTCACCATCACCTCCCAACACTGCAGATGTAGGCAGGAGATGCACCACTTGCCTAGAGTAGTAACTTATTGCAAGAAATTTCTCCCTGCAAATCCAGGGCACGATCCTCAGCATTCAGGGAATTCTACCTCATTGCGACACCACACAGAACAAGTCCAGCAGAAAATCTTCAGCGGAAGATCCTCACAATCCCAGCCTCTAAAACTGGCAGATGCTGAACAGCCTTTTTGTACTCTCACACAAGAGTGCATCACCCCAGAGGGGCAGCCAAACCAAGCAGCATTGTGGACACCAAACAAAAACAGCTTTAATGAGAACTTTGTTCCTGGACAAACTACGGGACACGTTATTGTTTGCTTGAAATTATGCATTCTCTTAGGAAAATTCATGGAGCTCTTCTGGTCCTTGAATCTCTCTGAAGATCCCATTGTTTTTTAGCTCTTGAAACAAAATGCTTATCAAGGAAACAACTGCTGACATTGAACAGTCCCAGTAGTAGGTGGCTGAAAAGAAAATGCAGCCATGTGATGTGAGGAAGAAGAGCAACCACTGGTTTGTGTATTTTTACTCCTGTCCAAAGAGGAACAGAGCCCCCCCAGGCTCCCTGTTCTGCAGATGGTAAATTGAGATAGTCTGTGCCCCAGGAAGTCTTGCTGCCAATGAGACAGAGAGGATGTAGCCATAAAAGCTGGGTAAACAAGAGGTGAGCATGTGAAACAACAAAAAGGACATGGCTGAGCAAACAAGTACATGTCCCACTGTTCACTTCATCAGTGAGAGAAGACAGAGCCTAGTAACCAGGGGGGGGTGGGGGGGATATAATCAATGGAAATTTTTGCTCTACATTATTCATATGGAAAATTGAAGGAAAATATTTCTCCTCTTCCCTCAAATATTCTGCTGATGAAAGAAAAAAAAAAGTAGATAGGAATATGATCTTATTCCTAACGAACCAAACTTCTGTCACTATGATATCCAAAAATCATACTCTTCTTTCCAAACTTAATCCTCGTCTATCCATAAATACTATGGCCAGACCAGTACTAAAACTGAGCTAACAAAACTGAGATGATGCTCTCTTTTTATTTGGTCTGTTCTTCCCTAGAGACAGTAGGGCGTCTTCTGGAATTAAAGAAGCTCAGTCTGGTTTTGCTCCAACAACTTAAAAAAGGTTTTGGAAAAATAATAGCAGAAATAACCTTTACATCATCACAACTGTTGGCAAAAACAGACACCACTGGCATATTCATAATATTTTTTCTGATGTTACATCAAACAGGAGACCGATAGGCAGGAAAAAGAGAGAGGAAAAATGAAACAAATAAATGTTGCATTTTAAAGGGCCAAAAGATGCATTCTTATCTCTTAAGGAAAAGTGATGGTCTTGAACAAGCATTTAAAAAGTACTTGACAGCAGCACCATTTTCAATGGATATGGTTAGCCTTAATCCATGCTTGGTTGCTACGGAGTCCATATCAAACCTGACAGTGAAGATAAATAAAAGACTTACTCCCATTTCACTTACCCTTGCTTAAATGTCAAATAACTCAGCACTCCGCAACAAACACACAAATCTAAGTGCACGCTCCTACAGCCTCTCATACCGAGCGTGTTTCAGCCGCACGAAGCTGCAGGGGCGTGCCCTGCCCGAGGGCACACAAAGTGCTCCTTTGGGATTCCCGGTGACCTGCATCCGTGTCACACATCCGTGTCACGCGGGGTGACCGCAGAGCCGGGCTAACGCCATCCAGCAGGCACGGGCAGGGGGAGCTGCCTCCTCCCCAGTGGAGCTGCCCACCCTGTGATGCCAGGCTCTCAGGCAAGGCACAGCTTTGCCCCTGCTCGGGTTCATGCGCCATCCCAGTCACCTGTTACCCTGTCTCCAGGGCTGGTGAAAGTTCAGGTCAGGGCTGGAAGCAGAGTTCACAAACACTGTTCTGCATCACCTGCTCACACACCACGCATGGGGAGGAGAAGGCAATGGAGCCAATGCTTCCTGTGCTCAGGGATAGGCTCCAGAGTCCCTCTGGGTGAGCATTAACTGCTCTTTCTTTGATGGTTTTACAAACTGGTGGGCAAACCCCAGCTGAGCCCTTCCATGACAAATGCAAACATTACAAGTCTCTTGCCCTAGGAGAATTCAAATCATATTAAAAACGTATTTACCCAACATCTGATACTGAGCTCAGACAGCCAGAATGAGCCTGAGGAAGAGAAAATCACCTTGAAAGTAATTTCTCAGACCAGTCTCCCAAAAATCCCATGGCAGCACATGAGACACTTTATTTGGAGCAAGGTGACACCTCGCAGGCTGGGTCCCTGGGTCTGTTTCACAGCATGCTGCTTGTAAGACAACAGTAATTATTGCTGGGCCTGCAACATGTTGGCTCTGGCCAATAATAAACATGTTTTATAGCCCTGTCTGCTGGAGAAATGACACTTAGCGGGATACAGAGCATCTCTGGAAGTACTACCATCTACATATGGAAGGTGCCACTCTACTTTGTCTACACCCACACACCAGTTCCCTTTTTGACACCATTGCAACAGTAGCCTAGCTGTAATATTAATATATAATATTAATAATAAGCCTGTCTGTAATTTTTACTCCTTCAGACCACTTGTTACTACTTCAAACAAAATTTCAGCAACGAGAAAAAATTCTCAACCCAACAAATCTCTTTTTTTTAAAAGAGCCTTGGGTAGAGGAAAAAAACCCGCATTCTCTCCAAACTCTTAATGAAGAGTAAGGTGTAAGGGACATACTCAGCCAGCTTGATTGCTATTTATTTCCAAGTCTACAGAAAGTTATTTGGAAACATTATGTAGACTGACTAAAATTTAGATCAAGTGAGACCAGGTCTAAGAAAGCATGGCCTAGAAAAATAAAGTGTCAAGGGTCACATCAGTTGAGCTCAACTCTCCTCTCAAACACAGCTTTCTGTTGTGGCCATGGGTACTCATTCAGCTTGTGCGTATCTCAGTTCCAGGAAAATAAAAGCACTTGTTTCTTTCTCAAGACTGCTGAAAAGGATTAAAGGCTGTAAAGTCGTCAAATATTACTGACAACAATTTGTTTAAAAACCTAAGAAATGACCTTACCTTTTCCCCATGACCTTACCTTTTCCCATGTGATATTTCCAGAGGTTGTGTTCCTGAGCAGCAGCTGATAGTCTGTCGCATACTGCAGGTTAGAAATAAAACACAACCAAACAAAAATGGTGAGGCAGGCATTAAAATTGTCAGCAAAATATCTAAAAAACTAGGGCAACAATTTACTTTGATAAACAAACTAGACACCTCACAAAAGCAGGGCACCTCTTTGGGCTTGTTTTCTTTCAATATGAAAGGAGGGAAGGAAAAGCCTCTGTCCTTGTCAATTCCCTGTGACAACAGCAGCACAGAGGAAAAGAGGACTGCTTTATTTCATCCCTAAACACACACAGCCCTGACACTAGAGGCATCACAAAATATCCTTTTCAAGGTGTTATTTTTGTACTGCTTCTGGTTTTACTCATGGAATATTGACTTGTACTGTATTATATATTTATGCAATATGGAACTTGATTTTAAGAGTTTGCCCCTGGTTTTGATACAAAAGCAAACCCACTATGAAAGCAAAAGCCATTATTTTGCTCCTATATCATAAAGAATCATTCTGCCGTATGACAATATTCTCAATACTCTCTATCCTGACATATAAAATTAGCATTGACAACTAAATCAAAATCTTTTTGGAGCCCTACAGCTCCCATCCATCAGTTTAAACCACACTATGTTCTGGTGCCAGTTACCATCCCACCACATTGTCTCTGTTGGAAGGGAAACCAGGCTGAGTAATTAATCCAGCAAGGGATACAATGGAAACTACTGAATAAAACCATCAGGCAACAGGTAATGCTTACACACATGGGAGCCTAAAGGTCTTCAGCCTTGTCTGTTCTAAACCCAGCTCTAAACTACATAGCCAAAGGATTCCCAGCTAGCTACTGCAACATGGTCAGCAGCCTGCACAGGATTGCCACTGCTGCCTAGCATGGCACCCAAAGTTTAAAGAATATTTTTGGTGAAGGTAGAAAAGATGGGCTTTGAATATGCTTTTGTTTGAGGAATATTTTTCAAATAATTTGCCAAGGATGTTGTATGTCTGACTATATCATGTGCTTTTAAAAACCCTGCCTTCTGTAAGTAAATTAACTTCTGATATTTTCTATACCATCTTTCTAGTCCTCTTCCAATAAAAGAGCCTGTGCACTGTAGCTCATGTCCAAAGACCTCACAGATCTTACCGTTTCAAAAGCTGCAGCAACAAGATTTGCAGGGAACAGGTTTCTGTAAAAGACAAAAAAGAAAATGAAATATGTCATGGAGAACTTCTAAATTAATGCACCAATGTATCTTTCTCTCAAACAGAATGCCTTTTTCAAAGGCAAGCACATTGGCACTGGTGAAGCGTGTAGCACAGAAAATTCTCCGGCAGCATGGAGCTTGCTATGTGTCCAGAGGTGTCGATGACATCTTCCTTGGCTCACATGAAACAGATGACAGATGCTTGCTGTCACACCTCACCTTTTGGGCAGGGCCACCAGAGGCAATCACACACAATGCTGGCTCTACACACCCATTGCCCAGTGGCTATGGAAACTGGTTCAGCCACACCACCTGCAGCACCAGCTTATGGCCTCCAGTGTCAGGCAGGTTTTTAGCACTGCTCATGTGATTACTCTTCACTCACAGCATCAACATGAAGGACAATCCAATCAGCAAAATCCACTTATGAGAATGGCTTAACCCTTCAACACAACACAGCTAGCTTCCCTGATCACCAAGGCAGAGTAGAACAACATCACAGGCCAGACTTCTCTGCAAGAACTTAGACAACACAGGTGGAAAGTACAGGCAACTCCTATGGAACATCTGAATCCAGTAGTGCCTTCACACAGAAATGCCAATCTAGCATCAAGTTGGTGCAGAGAGGACAGCATGCAATGTGATGTACACTCTTTCTGACCATCCAGTATGTATCTGCATACAGGAAATTAAAATCATGAACTGGACCGAGCAGGGCATTCTTCCAAGCTTCTTGTGGTATCTTATAGTTGGTTTTAATGCTCTAATTCCTTTCTCGCCTTAGGGGAAAGAGCACGTGTTCCCCTAGCCAAATGACAGCTCTTGGTTTTCTGTGTCAGAAAGGAAAACAGGAATAAAACCTGGTATCTGGGATCATGGTAGGACCACAGCTGGCAAGGGCAGGAATGTGATGGGTATCAGCTGAAAATACTGCCAGCAGAAGGCATCACAAAGGCACAAGAACTCTTATGGTAAGGAAACAGAAGACCCTACCCAGAGCCAGTTAATTGTGGTAAAAAACATTTGGATAGCTGCTCCCCACCCTTTGCTCTTTGTGCTGCTCTGAGGAAGCTGCAGCTCCCTCCAGGCTGTGCCCTGCTAACTTCCCCCCATTTTTGCCACAGTTACCCAGGCAAACATTAAACCAGGTCATTCCACGAATGGCATGGAACGCGCAAATCCAAACCAGAGCCAGGAAAGGAGCAGCAGAGTCAAATCTTTGAAAGCAAGAGGGAGATTAAAATGTGGCCCAGATAAGGACTTTGGCCTTTTTGGTTGCATGGCTCTGTTCTCCTGCCACACAGGGAGTTTTCCCACAGCCTTGACAGCAACTGTAAAGGACATGGAACTTTGTCAAACACCGGTCTGCTGTGAAATATTCAGCCTCTCTCTCTCTGATGCACTACAATTGTATTAGGAGGATTGCTGCAAGAATATTTTGTCTTTTGGAGTCTACATTCCACCAAGCATGAAGGAAACAGCAACTTTTTCTCCTCATAAGCTGACCATACAGCTGTCTGTCTGAAAGCAGGAGTGCGAGCTCTCTCCCATTCAGCAAAGACACTCAAGAATTGGCCAAATAAGATCAATGGAACAGCTAACATGCATCAGTTCTTGCACAGCTGGAACTCTCTGGTGGATAAAAACCTTGAGTAAAGTAAAAGCAAACTTGCCTTTATCAGGAGTAAAATATCACATATACAAATGGGCTCATGCTGTTGGGAAAATAAAGGTATTTCTTTTCAGCTTTTCATAGCAGGATGATTATTTTTCTTCAAAAAAAGAACTGACTGGACTTTGAAGAAGCAAAGAGATTAAAAAAGACTGAAAACCAACCAGAAATCAATTCTTTTTTCTTTTCTTTAAATCAGCTTTTCCATCCTGATGGAAACAAAACCAAAGGAAGCAATACTAAAGCCTAAACAACATAGTTCTCCAATGTTTAAATGTGGCCAGGAAACCAAACCCTCCATAATTTGCACAGTATGTCAGGCATGGGCCTCAGTAACTAAACATTAACTTATCTCCAAGCATATACTTAAAGCACACAGTTAAGTGATGCCAGCAACCCTGGTACAGCAAGGCAAGGGGCAGGTTCTTACTTCAAGTGTGAACAGTGCTGAAAAATAACCTAGAGTAGACACAGCACCAGACGCGGAACTTGACAATTTGCCAAGTAAAAAATTTTGATCTTAAGCAGCTAATAAGGAGTTTTATGTTCTGTTCAATCCAACTTCTAAGTACACCTGACTGCAAAATACCAAAACCACATAAAATAAAAACAGCTCCTCTGTTTCAAATCCCAAAGCTTAAGAACAAAATGTGTCGGCTCATAAAAAGCAATCTACAAATAAATGGCTTATCTTGGAGGCACGAGGTCTGCACAGGCTACACTTATTGCTCATCTAAGATCAGCCAGCATGTGAACTAAATTAAACTTTAATTACAGGTGGGTCAGATCACAAGTTCTTACCTTTGGATGGATTTGTGCAAGAACACCACTGCAGTGCCTGAAAAACGGGGCAAGATGCTGCCTGCTTTGGGGAGAGATAAAAGCTGGCTGGAGACCTGCCTGGGCCCATCATGGACTTGTGCCTGCAGGGTTTGCTCCTCACGCCTGGTAAGGTGAAGCTCACCCATCACAGAAACACAGACACAGCTCTGTCCCTGTGAGCAGAGGAGCTGCGTGGGGAAGTGTGGACATCCCTCGTGTGAGGGTGAACCAACACACAGGAAAGCTGATGAACTGGGTAATTGGGCATGCAAATGAAATTTGGGTGTCTGCCAGTTGTTTTTTCTGTGAAGACCAAAGGTTTAGAAGGTTTTTGTGCTTTGAAAGCCTGTAGCAAATGTGAACATGGAGTGTAGGGAAATCACCCTGGCTGTATGGCTGGATTGTTAACTGTTTCTGATGGCCCCATCCCCATGCCCTGTGCCAGAGAACACGGTCGTCTTTCTGAAGCAGATGTGGATTATCACAAGAACACGGTGCTGGCCAGACCCTGGGTCTGGGTGATAAGGAGCCCAGCACAGCACTGTGGGATCAGACAGCCTTGGCCCCAGATGCAGGGAGACAAAACTTGCTGCACGTGGCACAAACCAGACAGGCCAATAACACACCACCATGGCAGAGGGACAGATGTGCTGCCTGTACCCCATGTGCTCCCCTGCTGCCGGCACCTCGCCCCACACACACACAGACCCCCAAATCCTTTGTGCAACAAAAGTGAGGCACAGAGAGGCTTTACTCCCCTCACCAAGCACCAGGCAGGAAAGCCTCTCTCTGCCTGCTACAAGTTGCAGGCAGCCTCCAAAAAAGCCGTATCAGAAATCCATCTGACAGCTGCCAAGAGGGACAGCTGTGTCCTGGGGCTGAAGCAACAGCTGGGCTGAGCCAAGAAACCTCCATGTAACTGCACAACACAGGGTGGGTGAAAAGCACTCTTCTCAGATCCTCTTAAAACAGGAACAAGAAAGTAGCAGCACCAAGGGCAGGTGTTAAGTGTGTATTTCCTGCTTGAATACTGTGCTCATCACACCATCTCCCTGTGCACAGCTAGATAAATGCACCTTACTTCCTGTGAAAAGCTGCTCCTACCAGTCAGAAATTGACCATTACTCCCCAGAAAGATCCCACTGTATTTCTGCTGTAATAGAAATCTTTAGTTTAGCTGCAACATCCACTCTTGGGAATCCCAGACAACTAAGGGAACCTGGAGCTGGCAAATGAAGAAAAGGGGGGCTGTAACTCTCCTCCCTCTCCATTTTGATATCCTAGTCAAATTGCTCTCTTCCTTACATGCCTGTATCTTTCCACCAGCGGGATGAGGATTACACAGGAACTCCTCCATTGTATGTGTAAGGGATTATTATTAACAACTGTTTCTAAATTATTTGCTTGCTAGAGCTCTGCAAACAACTTTGCTCCGGCAGCAAAAGCGTGAAGGGAAATCCAGGCAAATGGAATGAAACCCTAAAATACTATGCATTCCTCTCACATTGCTTCTTACAAAAAGGTTCCACTTCTGAAGCCAAAAACCTTGGTGTTGAAAAACATACTTTTTTGAGGAAGTCTACAAAAAAATATTCTGTGTTGGTTATCTCCAGTTTGCAGGGTTTTTTTCAATGGTACAAGTCCACTTGCAGAAACTTTATTGCCATCTGTGGCAAAATGCCAGAGCCCAGTTCGAATTCCTCCAGTACCTGTGGTTTTTTTCTGTCCAAAGATTTTCCTTCAACATCACACAGCAATTTTCTTCATCTGCTTTTTGATATGTGGATGCACAACACATGCCCTGTACATACTCATATTTCTGAGTGTGTGCATTCGTTTTAACACAGAGAAACTTGAAAATGTGTTTACTTCTAGCAGATATTTGACACATTTTTTGTCTTAATGGTCCAGTCTGTATTTTTGATGCTTGGAAAATAAAATGTAACTGGGGGGAGTCAGTTGTAAAAGGCAACAAATGAAAGGAGCAGAAATGCTCAGAGGCTTTTACTAAAAAAGCTCTGCCAGAAAGTGCAGGCACATGAATGAAAACAGAGTTCTTCCTACAGAACTCATTCCAGACTCAGAAAGTGATACAAGCAAAGTGGGATAGTTATCTTCACTTTAAGAACCAGCCATCAGCTTCAAACCCAGAGGTCAGCAGGTCTCCTGGGGTAACTGCAGCCATTGCCTTGACACTTTTTATTCTATTTATGAATTCACAGGTGGCATCTCCCCCCTCCCCTCTAACAGCCACATTTTACTGTCTTTCCACACTGGGATTTTAGAGATGGCTTTCATGGCTGCTGGTTTTGGGTAACTCACTGGGAAGACCAAGGCTACAAGGAACAAGTGCTACTGCAGCAGCTGGTGCCCACGAGAGGGTCACTGCCACTCTGGCCACCTGCTCTGCAGCCCAGCCAGCAAAACACAACTGATGCTTCTCCCTGTGCTCATGTCTGCTTTCCCTACGGCTCTGAAGACACTGGGAGCAAAGGCATGAGCTTGGTGTGGATGCTCCCTTTGGCAGCTCCGCTGGTAACATCTGGCAGACAGACAGAAAGGGCATTGAGAAGCAATAAAATTTAAACAGCTTTTGCAGACTTGCCTGGCAAACTGGGAAACCCTGACCTTACTGCTTGGGGCAGATGTGTGGACCTCTGTGCACTCTCCCTATTAAAAAAAAGGGATTACCTCCTTCCCTTCCCAGATTCTTACAGTTAGGGTTGGATTAAAAACAGAATTTCCTTCTCCAAGGCCAATTTCACAGTTGCAAAACATGTTTTCATCCCAAAATTGGGCAAAGAAAGCCTGTTTCAGATCCTTTTTTCCACTAAAAAAATTGTAAAATACTCTGTTGAAATGTTCCTTTTTTGATGAGTGAGATTCTCTGCTTAAGTCCTTTGTATAAAATGATAGCAAAACATTGATCTCACCAAAATGAAATGCCACAATCACCCACTATGGAAATTTTGACAGGATCAATAGGTGAAACTGTTCAATTTTGTTGAATCAGCAAATACAAATCAGAGTTAGAACAAAACTCTGACCTTATTGAAACATTCAGTCGTGACAATTGTCCATCAAAAGTGTTAACAGATCAATAGATTCTTGCAAAATATTTGATCCTGCTGTTCCAACTGCTTTCCAACAAGCTGCAGGTGGGCTGTGTGAGCAGGTGGTTGGAGTCCCATCCTTGGGACTCCCTCTCCCTGGTTACATGCAGAGCACAAGCACAGCCAAGCTGGCTCTCCCCAGTGTCACCTTCTCAGGTGGGGGCTGAGGCCCAGAGCCCACCACATCCCAGCCAGCCCCTTCCTCCAGCTGCCAACCACTTCAAAAATCAAGCTCATAAGCTCTCTTTATTCTCTATTGCTTTATCTTCTCCACCAAATACATGAGTTAGGGAAAACCCCAGAAATTCCAAAATTTCCCTTCACTCTCCTCATCTTCTGCTGACAGACTTAAGGAATTCTAAGATCCTGCCTTGAGTTCAGGGAACACCCCACTTTCTGGGTGCCTTTTTTAAAGCCATCAGCCTTGTGGAGGTAGCTGTGAACTCTTGCTGGATCCCTCCCATGATCACTGCCTCTGGCCATGCTCATTTCTAGGAAGCTCCAAGGAGCTGCCCACATGACAGATCTGAGAGGAGCCATCAGCATTCCTGCTTCGGGGCACAAAAGCACCTCAGGGCAGCTTTGCTGTCCCCACCCCATGGCTGGAGCAGAGGACAGTGTGCCTAAGCCCTGACCAGACATGCTCAGGGCTCGCTTGCCTCTAGCACTTGCCAGAAGGGAAACCAGGAGGGTGCTCCAGCACCGCCAGCCAGACAAATCAGACCTGGAGGTTATGGTCAATGGACAAAACCAAACAGAGACAGCCTTTGGGTTCACCAGTGAGTCATCATTCATTTGATACCAAAGCCCAAGATAAATCTTTTTTCCAGAGGTCATTTGTCCATGCCTACATGCATGTTTGTGGGGAAGCTTTAGACTTTGAAAAGGAAAACCAAGAACTAAGCCGGCTTCCAAACATCACTGCAACAACGAAAAGCAACACCTTGAATCATTACCTAAAAGACTTCCCAAAGGCAGAAGTGATTTGCGGAACCAAATAGTGACACACAGTTGTGATTTCCTCTTTGCTGTTTCTTCCTTGGGTCATTGGTTTTCAGTGCTGATAGGGGACTCAGTTTACCCACCTGCAACTCATTTTTACCTCTCCTCTGAAACCAAGCAGCAGCAAAGCCTTGAAGGACACAGTCTTGTGCTACACTGAAAACAAAGTTTTCTTGCATCTAACAGAAAGTTTCATGGCCAAATGAGATAAAAGGAGAAGCAAAGAGGAGGATGCTGTAAGACCCACCCACACAAAAAGCAATCATTTCGACCCTCCATGCCCTATAGAATCACGGCTTTGTTATCTCAAAATTAGTTTACCCTTCATCACAGCAGGGGCCAGGTTCAGTGCTCAAACCAGAACACCCAGGTTTTCAAGAACAGTTAAAAGAAAAACATTACACAGCAGAGAGATTTTATTTCCTGAAAATCACATACTCTCTCCATCCCTCAGTCTGTCAGGGATTTGTGCTAAGACTGAAAGCTTTAGTGATGGCTGTGTCCAAACACAACTTTTCTGGACTGGATTTCAATGTCACTGCTGTAACAACTTGACAGCCCAACAGTGTGGCTGCAACAGCCCTTCTCTGGGGTTTCAAGAAAAAGCTGTATTCACAGCCCCCCATACATGCACTACTGAGGGAAAGTTACTGTCCCCTCACCTGCAAGAAGGAAACTCCTCTGCAACCCACCATGCTTTACCCAAGCCTCATCATTATGAGCTCTACTTTGGAATTAGGGACTCAATCCCATCACCATCATAACCCCTTTGAAGATGAATTCTAAACCTGCATTTACAGACCAGACCAAGAAACAGCTGTCTCCTCTGAACTTTAGATATTACCCACAGCCTGAAGCTCACTGGAACATCCCTGGCCTGTTCCTCAACTCCATCCTACTCCATGCTGCCAGGTGACACAGGGATGTAACACCAGGATGCACTGGGGCAGCCACCACTACACGCATCTTCCCAACTCTCCCAGGTGTGACTACTCCTTTTTTTTTTTTTTGGCAATTTTCCTTCACCTCCCTCCCCTCCATTCAACAACAAATCACCACCACAGCCAGACTACCTACTCCCGTTTTCCTGCTATTCCTTCTTAACATGCTGTCAGGAACTGCTGGTCCTTAAGAAAGGTCCTTAATTGTTGGTTCTTAAGAGAGGGAGAGGTGAGCTGAGGACACTGAGCACATGGCTGCCAAAGGAACAAACCAGACTTACTTTCTATCCAAAGGGGACATACTTGTCTCGGGGGAGAAAAGGACATTAACCTGAATTTGTAAATACAGTTCTGGATTTGGGGTCGGGCTTTTTTTATTTAGAAATTTTTTTTATCTTTATTGAGACATCCACTTGTCCAGACAGAGCCAAAACATATTTCAGCTGAAAAACTGGACTCATAAAAGCAAAGCAAACAATCAAAATAATTTAAAAAAAACCACTCAGTTTTGTAATTACTGGGATATCGACTAAGCTCAACTTTCCAGCCACTTCGGTGTGACACACACAGGTCACCTCCCTTATTCTTGTGTTTGTACCTGGGTGCAAAGCACAAGGAAATGCAGCTGGAAGCCCAATACTCAAAGCACCATCTGGATGACTGCCTCGTTTGTCTGTGTGCTCCTATCTTATTTAAAAAGCCAGAAAGATCTCAACAAGACATGGGCTTTGAGAAAAACAAAAAAGGTGAAGTTCGCAACTTTGCAAGGAGGAATAAGGATACACTAAACACTATCGTCTGATTAGAAGTGGAAGCCTTGTTTCCAGATAGATTTGGGGAATGCAAGTCTTGTCTTTGAAAGATGCAGAGGTAAGAAGGGAAGCTCACGAACCTACAGAGCATCCTTACACTGGACTATGTTTAGGGTATGTCCTCCATGGAATTACAGGGCTGCGTTTCCACGTGCACATCTATGAGAGGGCATTCTAAGAGGCAGACAGGCATTTGGGTGAGGAGACTTGGTAAAGTGCTGAAGAATTAAAGAAAAAAGTGTGTGTGAGGGATGAGAAGAGCTGCCCAGCCCTGCCCTGCCTGCAGGAGACAGGCAACAACAGGCACCAGGGCAGGGGAAGGTGCCAGGGAAAGCCTGCCCCGCAGCCGGCACCCAGGAGCCGCTCTCCCTCCAGGCAGAACCAAAAACGGGCCTAGGCACCCAGAACTCTGAGCAAGCCTCGACTCATCCTTGCAGCCACCCAGGCAAAATTAAAAACAAAGCGGGGAGAAGCAGAGCACCAAGCCCTACACCTGACCGGGCTGCGGGTACTTGGGCAGAGAGCCGTGTTTCTGGAGAAACCAGGATTAGGATGAGGAGGATGGTAAAATGAAGGAGATAAAGAAGGAGGTTAAGGAGAAGGAGAAAAATCAGGGGAAGGTGCAGAAAGAAAGGTGAGAAGATGCAGGAGGACAAGAAGATGAAGGAGGTTGAGAAGGGGGAGGAGGACTCTCCGGCTGCAGCGTGCAACACTGCCGGGTCTGTCATCATCCTCCGGCGGCGGGAGGGCGGGGGAAGGAGGGGAGCGGGGCGGCCTCACCTGATGAGGTCGAGGAAGGAGTCCACCGTCTCCTTGCTCTTGGGTAGCGCGCCCGGCAGCCCCAGCTGGGTGTTGAGCGCGGAGGCACCGGCGCCGGGGCGAATGATGAAGCCGAGGGCGACGGCGAGGCCGGAGGCGAGCAGCGTGGTGCCCAGGAAATAGGCGACCGCGATGCCACCCAGGCGGCCGAGCGAGCGGGTGTCCAGGCTGGCGGCGCCCGACACCAGGCTGCAGATCACGAGCGGCAGGATCACCATGCGCAGCATCCGCAGCAGCAGCTCCCCGGGAAAGGCCAGGTAGGAGACCTGTGCCGGGCTCAGCGCCGCGCTGCGCACGGCGGCCCCCAGCGCCACGCCGGCCACCACCCCCGACACCGTCAGCAGCACCAGCGCGTTGCGCCGCAGGAACCCGCGGCAGCCCCGCAGCCGGGCCCCGCCGCCCCGCCGCTCCTCGGCCGCCGGGCCCTCGGCATGGCCGTTCCGGCCGTGGCCCGCCTTGCCCTCACCCGCCGCCGCCTCCTCCATGCTGCGCCGAAGAGCGGCTCCGCGTGTGCCGCTAGCGTGCGGCGCTCCAGGCACGGACTGAGCGGCGGGCCCGCCCCGCCCAGGCCCGGGAGCGGCGCCGGCCCCGCCCGGGGGAGGGAGGGCGCAGCCCCCGGTCCGCCCCGTGCCTGCCCGGCCTGGTCTGGCTCCGCGCCATCGCAGGCTCAGGGGCCGCGCTGCCTCCCCCACGTCCCCTCGGCGTGAGGCCCCTCCGGGGCCTGAAGGCCCCTCCGGGTCCCCGCGGTGTCCCAGAGATCACGCGTGTCTCCCGACGTTTTACACATTTCCCCATCACCTTCCCGTCCACCTTTGTGTCCCTGTGGGTCACACTTGTCCCTCCATTGTCCTCCCTCAGTATCCCTACTGTTCGCACACACCGCCGTAGTGTCCCCATAACTCACACGTGTCCCCTCAGTCCTGTCCCCTCAGTGTCCCAGGACTCACATGTGTCCCCTCTGTTCGTGTCCATGTCCCCGTGGCTCACACGTGTCCCCTCATTGTCCCCCCTTGGTATCATCACAGTTCCTACACACCCCTGCAGTCCCCACAGTTCACAAATGCCCCCTCAATGTCCCTACAGTTTGCACATGTCCCCCTCCATGTTCTCATGGAACACATCCCCTCAGTGTGCCCGCGGCTCACACGTCTCCCTCAGTGTCCCCATGGTTTGCATACATCCCTATCAGTGTTCCCACAGCTCACCTGTCCATTCAGAGACCCCCTCAAATTCTTCACAACTCACACATTGTCCCCATCGGTGGGGTTCACCTGTGGCCTCAGTGTCCCCCTCTCCTCTCCAGGAATCTCTCATGGAGGCAGGAGCCACTCTGGACCAGGACAGGTTGTGTCTGTGTCCCCGTCTACATTGTCGAAGTCATTCAGCAGGTCCATGGGTTCATCCAGGGACTCTGAGCACCTGTCCTTGAGGAACCCATGTCTCACCTCACAAGCTGGTTGTCTGAGGAGCAGACAATGTCAGTGATGATACACAGAGCTGAAAAAGGACACTTGGGGCTTTCAAACCCAGAAGAGCCTTGTGGGTGCACCAGTGTCATGTTTGCTCACAAGGGCATTTCCAGGAGTTCCAGCTGGTGTTTGGACTCTGTCAGGAGCTCCATTTCAGCTCATTCCCTTGACATCAGCAAATCACAGCCTAGCAGAAAACACTCTGTGAAAACAGCCAGCCACACATCTGCTTTTCGAGTAGACTGCACTAATTAGGGTGACTGACAGGGTGTGATGCAACAATAATCCCGATTTAATAAGACTTTTCGGTTTTCCAATCTCATGGATAGGCCTGAAGATCGCTATACCATGGAGCTCCTGGGAATTGTTTGTGTGTAAATAGGTAACAACACCACTGACAAGCAGCTATGTCCACGACCATCCACTTTAGACCTTGATGAAAATTCTTGATTCGCTTTTGCTCTGCAATTAGACTCACGATAACAGCACATTCTTATTGATTTTGTATTTTTTTCCTTGATTACTTTCCCTTTGAGTAACACTTGGTTTGTGGAAGTCTGTGAATCAATGTCCCATCAAATCAACAGATATAGGAAACAGACTAAACAGGAAAACAAGTATCTGCAAACACTTTTAAAGACATACAATTCCACAAACCTCAAAAAGAATAAAAAAAATTACGAAGATCTTTTAAAATCGGGTTTGAATTTTTTTCTGCAAATAGGTTTGTGATTAATGAACAAGTTACTGTCCAACATAATTGTTTCTTTCTCCATCAGAAGCATTTCTAAAATGGTTTTAAATTAATATTTTCAGAGTGGTCCTTGTGAAAATGTCATGCTTCATTTTATCCTTGCATTTTTCCCTGTCCTTCACTCCTGATCTCACATTTTTTTTCTTTCAATTTACCCATGAAAAGGGAAAGAGAAAAGCAGAAAAGGAATTACAACAGAAAATTATAAAATAAATATAAAATTATGGAAATCTATTCCTTGTTTCGGACGAGAAGAGATTCTAAAACCAAACAACAAACAAAAATGCTGTTCCCTTGAGCAAACTGAAAGCAAGGGGAGAAATTCAGGGAAGTGTAAACAAGAAGAATGTATTAAATCAGAAAACTCATTGATAGCGGCACATGTATGAGACCAGTGCAAGAACCAACACAAAACCTTTTCCACCATATGACAGTGGACTCCTTCTCTCTTGGTGTATCCCCCTGTGTCCTTGTGGGACTCACCTTGCTCAGAGCAGTGCCATGAGAACAGCCAGGGGGCCTGCAGGAACACACACCCCCAGAACTGTAGATCCCAGTGAAAGTTCTTGAACCCATGCTGAGGCTGTTTGGTGATAGCCAACCTTTCCAAAACAACACTTTGACATAGGGATGCTGGTGTCAAGCTTCCTCGTCAATAACACCAAGAGAATTCCTCCTAATTTCCTCTTCCTTTTCCCCCCTCTCTTGATTGTTTAATTCAAATACTGATCCAAACAGTTATCCTTCCTCTCTTGACATATCTCCAGATGACAATGCTTTTGCCAACAAGAAGACAACAGAGCACATGAACCTCCCACTGTACAAATGGACAACATCCCAAAGATGTTCTAGGCAATGCTAACTGTTTTTCCACCCTGTGAGAGTTCATGGATGGCTGAAGTGATTAACCCCAAAGCCCGCTGGCTTATTCAGTAGTAATCGTTGACTGATCCATTGTGTCATGTTTTCATTTCAGCGCTTGTAGATCTTGGGAGATTTCCAGTGAGTGAGTCTGCCTGTTCCCAATGTCCACCCCTCTGGTGCTTCTAAATTAGGGATTTTGACTTTCCCTCTTGGAACTTGAAGATTTTTTTTTTGGCTTAAGTGGCTTTCACCTGCATAGGGCTAGGGTGCTTCCTCCAGAAATCAGCAGAGGGATCATGAACAGGCAACAACAACAAAACAACCAAAAAAAAATCCAGTTACTTTTAAAGAAATTTTTTTTAATCCTTTTACTTTCAGTGAAAAAACAGCCAATATAGTTTTCACCACTGGCCCAGAAGGAAGATGTCATGCTGTTTTCCAGTCAAATTCAACTTGATACTGGTTTTTGATGGTAGGTATTTGAAATTCCAGCCTCAGTGGAAGGAATGAAAAAATCTTAATGGCTGTAAGGGAACCAGGTCCCTTTATGTTTCATCTGCACATCAGTGCAGATGGACGCTGATAATAACACACTGGAAATGTAGGATTTTAATGCCCCTAGGAAACAGAGGTGATTGTTTCTCACACCTGTGGAAGGTCAACACAAAGACTGGAAGAAATCAAATTTGAATTTCTTTGCTAAGGAAAGAGAGGAAGGCCTTCGAAGAGCTGATTGCAGCTCCCTGAGTCTCATGCCTGATACATACAAGTCTCAGCAGCTAGCACAGGTTAGAGTAGCCCTCAGGCCACATTTCCTACAAACCTGCATAGCAGCAGGAGTGCAGAGAACACTCATTGTGCCACCTCTGCTTTCCCCGTCTTCCTGCTGCTATTTCCCTCTTCCTAAGACTGGCAAGGTCATCTGCATCTTTTTGTGGCTGCTGTTTGCTCTCTGCTTTTGGGAGACCCAATAGAAACATCAGCAGGATTCCAGATAAGTCATCCATCAGTCATCTCCTGCAACTGCTTTGATTTGAAGTAGTTTGAAGACTGATGCCTCAAAGGCATGGCGGGGAGGAGGGAACAAGATGAAAGGGAAGACTGCAGGAAGGGGCTGTATTTTGTAGCCGTGTTTTTCAAGACAAGTCTGAGTAAAGGTGCTCTCAAACTTCCCAACAGAGATGTGCTGGGCAGCCTGCAGTGTCCTAAGGGGCTGTATTACAATGTGGCCTTTTTCTGAGGAGGATTCATGAAGAGCACATGGAAGAGTTCTTGTTTTCTACTGAGCAAAATGAAGTCCTCAGAAGAGGCACAGCACGTGAGCTGAGGCAGGAAGGCCTAGAGCACTTTCTTGGTATGCAGACTTTAGTTTGGCAAGAAGACTTTGTTGGGCCTGGGATGCCGAGCAATTTGGAGCGACTCCAGCCCCGTTGCAGAAATCCTCTATGTCTGCATCTGGGAGGAACATGAGATGTGTTCCTCAGCTCTTCCCAGTGCCCCTGGCCTGCTCACCTCATTGCAAGCTGGATGCAGGACTAGCCACCCATGCATAGTTACCTGGATTTACCAGAATGAGCCAGATTTCAAGACATCTGAAACCACAGAAAAAAACCCCTGGCCTCCTGTGATGACAGAACCAAAGAATATTGCTCTGGTCCTGCTTCATTTAGGTTCTTGGCCAGCAACTGAAATAACACAGTCCCAAACACAATCCTACCACAGTGTCACATGTTGATTCAGCATTTCTCCAGGCTGGGTATGTGCTCACACCTGATCAAAAATATTCTGAGTAGGAAAAAAAATGTCGTCTGTAAATGCATTTTTAATAGCAAAGGCAGGCAAGGAATTTTGCAAATACCACTTGCTTGCCCAAACTCCAACAAAATATAAACTCTGCAGACAGGGATGGTTGACCTAGGGTAAATATTTAACTTTATCCTTCAAAGGTACATGCAGTTTTACCAGAAAGAAGATGAAAAATATAGAATAATACCCACACACACATACCTTGTTTACTCTAAGGATCCTTTGAGGGCTCTGGAAACAAAGTTATACTGAGGCAAGAGTAATTTTTAAACTGTGTGCGTTGTTCCCTTTTTCAAAACTATTATAATATGAAAACATGAAGAAAAACCAGCCACCCCCCAAGAATAGTAGAATTTTTTTTTCCTTCATAAGCTCTCCCAGAGGTTTTTCTTTGAGTTTAAATCAAGGAAAAGTAGGGAAAAGTAGGAAAAAAGGGCAAGAACAAGAAGAGACATTCAAGATCTTGGATATGTGACAACCTGTCCTAGCAGGGGACATTGCCTCTAGCTGGTGGGGGAAATTCAGGGTCAGGCTTTTCAAAACAAGCTGAGCTGATCTGAAAACAAGCAGTGAAGCTTTGCTACCGAAGAGGCGAGGGAAGCGACCAGAGCGTCTCAGCCATGGGAAGTGTGCTTG